GTTAAGGTTTCCAAGCCTTCCTTTTTCATCATGTAGTCAAGAAATTTAAGCTAACTCTTTCTGATACAGAGTATGTGTTCTTTCTGTTGCTTACTCACTACATCCATGGAATTCTCAGTATCCTTCTGTAGAACCATATTTCCATTGCCTTCAGTTCTCACTTCATCTGTTATGGAAGAGGAAGGATCAGTGACATGCAGAGGTTTAGTGATGATTGGAGCCAACTCCTTAATTATATGCCACTAAGACATAAGTAGGTGGTGGTGGGGGGGGGCTATAGGGCCCATTACTGAGAAATATAAGAAAGGAAGACATTTTATGAAACATGTCACTCTTTGATTGGTTGCCCTCCTGATATGGATGACCGGGCAATCACAAACTCTTTCCACCCCCTCTTCTGCACGCTACTGGGATGGATACCACATTACAATCATGCTCCCTTTTTCTTCGTTTTTCCCCATTCATTTATCACCTTGTCTAGGAGGTCCTGTAGTTTTCTTTCTGTGCCTAAAAACACAACACAATCTTCTCTACGTATCTTATATTGTCCAAATTATGCCCACCAATAATAAATCTTGCTAGAGTCTCCAGGTTCCTTAGGATAACCTCGCTGTTGAGGTTGAATAAATCTAGAGAGAAGACACATGCTTGTCTTACGACCCCTTTTGATTTTTGTGTACCTATTCAGTTTGTTTTCTATCCATATGCTCTCAGTATAAATTCTGGATTATTCTAACATCCTTTCCAAATAGATTGAGTTTCTTGAACATTTCAAATAGATCTTTGTGCTGTATCTTATCAAATGGTTTTGCATAATCTATAAAACATAAGCAAACATCCTTGTGCATTTTTATTGCTCTTTCTAATATCATTTCATTCATAAATACCACATTTCTTGTACCAGTTTCCTTCACAAAGCCACATTGTTCTTGCTCTATTTCTGCTCTAATTCTGTTTTGCACTCAATTCATCAGGATTCAAATCATTAGTTTAGTTACACTGAAAAAGTCTCTCAGTTTCAATCATAATGTTCTATACTACAAGCTTACTCATGATGCAACTCAGGACCAGAATTGGGGACCTAATTCAAAAGCTCCTTATTCCACTGTGAGCAAGACATTTTAGTTGCAGTTTTAGGTTTGCAATATTTCACTATTGTAGTCACCTTAAGAAATTGAAAGAAATTTTTGATTTTACACTTGGAATTACTTTAGTTTATTTAATTGAAATAAATATAAAATTTATTTCTATGCTTTGGACTTACTATTTTTATTGCAAAAATAATCTTTGTGTATGAAATTCACTAAAAAATCTAATTTAGGAATTTTGATCTTGTAACTTGGAAATTTATTTAACATTTTTCCTTTAAAGTTAATATTTTTCACTTTTTTTATTCATAAAAGCAAATACACTTAAGATAAACAGAAACTTGTGTGTGTGTGTGTGTGTGTGTGTGTGTGTGTGTGTGTGTGTGTGTGTGTGTGTGTGCATGCGTGCATGTGATCAGTATCCCAAATGTTTAATTTTTAACCACAGTTCTTGTATCATAACGTAACTTTTTACACAGCAAAATTTTTCAAAGATCCAAACAAGACAGTAACCAAAAAAAAAATGTATAATTTTATTTGCTTTAAAGAAATAATTTATTCACCCAATCTTTACTTGTCTTCTTGCAAATGTTACAAAAACTCAAGAAAGTTAATTTGAATATTTATTGTTTTGATTTTTAACAGATTTTCCTTCCAAAGCCTTTTTCTTAAATTCTCTTTTTACACCATAATATTTAAAAATGTGTTCATTCATCACAAAAATCAGTTTAATATTTTTCTTTTTGGTACTGGTATTCATAAACATTGATGATGAATTTTAATTTTCTATGAGTAAATTATGCTTTTTTTTTAAATGTATTAAAAAAAAAAGGAAAAAAAATATGTGTATGATGAAGTTTAAATTATCATTAAAAGAACATTGACATTTTCTTTGCACACAGTTTTGTGTTTCTTTTATTCTAACCTGAGGAAGCCAAAGAGAGGATATGCTCTCTGGTGAGATGGATCATTAATAAATTTTCCATTTTTCTCATTACCTTCATTACAAAATAAATTCAAAAAAGCAATTTATTAAATTGTTGTTTAACCTTTTTCTAAAAATGAATTTCTTTATGCTTTCTCTTCTAAAAGGTATTTAAACAAAAAATATGTATGATTAATTTTACCCTTAAAAAGTTTACCATTAAAAGGACATAAAATAGAATAATATATATATTTTTATATTATAAAATTAATGTAAAAGTAATTTATTAAGAATGTTGTTTAATCTTTCTCCAAAAATTTCTGAAATTCAAATATTTGAAATAAGTCTCCAGTTCTGGTTCTTAGTTGCACCATGAGTAGACCTGTAGTATAGAATGCTATCATCTCAATCCAGAAAATAAGTGCAAACAAAAAAATTAAAATTAAAACAAGAAATTTTTATTGTAGGATAATAGATCAAAGTAATATTCATTTTATGTAGGTACTAAAAATCATCATGGAAAAATTCCCCAAACTTAATAAAGACAAACTTTTATAGTCAAAATCTTTATGTTATTATTAAGAGGAAAGATCAAATGGTTTTCTGATTATTAAAATATATTTTTTAATCCTTCATAGCCAAAAATTTTGTTTTTGTTAACAGGTGACCATAAAAACACATTGATTTGGAAATTCTTGCAAAAATCTGATAATTGTCAGAATTTAATGAAACTTTAAGGACTTATTAAAAGATGAATTAAATTATTTTCGGATTTTTTCTTTTTTAGAAATTCTTGGTAAAATATTTTTTTTACATCTGTTATCCACTTCCTCCAGTTATCAAATTTTATGAAATTTTGAGAAATTCAATTTTTTAGGACTTAATGTTTATATTAGATATAAGCAAAAGTTCTTGGTGAATTTAAATCTTCATTTTTTTTTGGTCAAACATACCCCAAAGTTACAGACAATCAGCTTTGAATAAAAAATGCAGTAAGACTAAGACAGTATTTAATTACAAAATCTTGTAATTGTTTTTAATGAATAATAATATTATAGATACTATTGTTTTAAGAAAAAAATTTTCTATGAATAAGAAATTTTCACAAGAACTGTTTTCACTGTTTTTTTAAATTTTAATTATAATAATTTATAAAATTTTAAATCTTTTAAAATTCTGTATTAATTTGTAGTGGTTAGGTGATATTTTTATTAAATAAAAACTATATTTACAATTCAGCAACCCCAGTATTTTAAGAATTTAAAAACAATTTTTTTGTGTATGTGTATAGATGTTCTGATTTTTGTAAATATGGCTGTACATATATGATATTTTCATAGAGTAAGAGTGGTAACTATAGTAAATTTTAAGTTTATTGGTGATTTTTTAACATTTCATCAACAAGCATCTTCGTAAGTAAGACTATAAAACTAAAGTACCTTAAAATTCAATAAAATGTTAGATTACTTAAAATATTTAAAAACATTATATGAAAAGGGGTTCATGTTATTTTTGTAATTATTACAGTTATATCCCCTGCAGAAAAAATTCCCAAGCCAAAGTCATTCGAATGAGTTGTGAACACCTGATAAAAACACCCAACTCCATGTTAAAAATGCTTTTCTACGATATGTTAAGCTAAAAGTAAGTAATTGTTTAAATTCAGATTAATTAAATTTTATGTTAGCTAATTTTCCTCAAATAAAGTTATAATAAGTATATTTTATTTTTGAAAGATTTATAATAAAGGGAATTATGATGTGTTGACAGATTTGTCAATATGGACGATTTTTTTTAGCGTTTAAAAATACTTATTCCAATCAATTTATTTAGGTTGAAATACAGCAAGGGTTTTTTTTTTTTTTTTTTTTTTTTTTTACTTATGAGAAATATTATTAGTTTGAAATTAAAAGCTTAATGAATTTTTTTTTAATTTTTCAAAATGCATTTTAATTTAAATTTAAAACAATCATGTTTGTACCTCCAAAAACCAACAATATACAAGGTTTAAGTAATTTTGAACTTTAGATATCACTTTTCTTTGGAGGTACCTAACTAACCTAATAATTGTTTTCGTATTTACGAGTTAGCACAGTTCCCTTTCGAAACTTTTTCTTAAGGTTGAAGGTCAAGGAACAAAAAAGGCGCCTAAAATCACAAGTTTTTTTTTTTTTTGTTGTTGTTTTTTTGTTTTGTTTTGTGTTTTTTTTTTGTTTTTTTTTGTTTTTTGTTTTGTTTTTTGTTTTGTTTTTTTGACCGTATTGATTGAAGGCTGTTAAAGATGTGTACTACAAATCCTTTGGGCTTTTTCTCTTTTGAATTATAAAAAAAGCAACTTAGCTTGCCTGAACAATGAATATCATAACGATAATTGAATTATCTATGTATATTGTGAAGTAGACAAGTAAAGAATTATCAATGACATTGTTTTATCATTGTAATAATTACAACAATGTCATTGTCGTTGGTGATTAACGCAAAGAACGAAAGGCTAGAAATAATTATTTGATGAGAAATGAAAAAGATCAATATTGGATGAATGGGTGACGTGAAAAGAAAGGAATGTCCATACCCCACTCCCCATTATTGCCTTGTGTCAGGTTAGTCGTGATATTTTGGTAAATAACGAGGAAGCGGGTATCGAAAACGGGGGCTTTTTTGCACACCCACGTTCTCATCCAATCGAAGTTCATGAATATCAATTAGCCAAGTGACGTAAGCGAACCATTCACTCTCTTTAAATGCTTGCTGTAACACATCGAAATTGATTATTCCAAACAAAAAGTATTTCCCCAACCCGGGCATGAATTGCACTTTTGCTGAATTCAGGTTAAAATATATATATATGTGGAAGCGTAAACAAATATAAAGGAAGAGCCCAGTATCGTGTAAACAACATTTGCAACCGATTCGTTTCTTTCACAATCATTTATGAATGGAGAGACAAGAAGAGGAATATTATTCATCACAAGAAAGCATCTTTAAAAATGGCAAAGCCAATCACAGTGGTATGTTTTGGTTTGAACCGTTTGCAAATATTTAAATTTTAATTCTAAATTTATTTTTCTAATTAAAAAAAAAAAAATTCTTATCCAAAATTCTTATCCAAAAATAGCAACTCACCCACACTTATTTTCACTTTTCAAAAACGCTTATCCTTTTCTTTTTTTTTCGTCTTTTTAAATCTATTCTTATTTAAAACAAATAATATAATGATATAATAATTTAGTTCATTATCGCCAAAATAATTTTAGTCAAATTTTTAAAGTTGTTGTTATTATTAACAAATTGAAATGCTGACCTCTGAGGTCATTGGCACGTGAATTTGTTTTTGTTTTGTTTTTCGTTCTTAGATTCGAAACCTTGTTGATATTTTTGCAGCAGTCTCTGAATAATTACCAGACGTGCCGCAAACAACCATTTTCAAAATTCTTCTATTTTTTAAATTTTCTTCACTGTTGTTAAGATTTCTACACTTTGTGGGGAGGAGTAATTTTTTTCCCCGCACATTTTCTCAAAAAATATTAATGATATCCTTTCATCAGGTCGATTGAATGAGAAACAACCAGGCCATCAGGTGTTGTTTTCAACAAAAGAAGAGAGAAAGAAACCTTTTTGGTTCATCGTTGTAAAATGATTTAAAAATGTAATAATCTCTAACATTTCCATGTTTTGCTCATAGCGAGAACAAAAGGATTTTTTTTATTCCAGTCTCAATTTTTTATGTTCTGTTCAAGATGCGTAACACTTGATTCTAAAAAAAAAAAAAAAATTGATGTTTTTGATGTCTTTCGTTTTTCTTCATTCACCTAAAATATGAGACCAGGTAAAAAAGTTTTTTGTATAACAACATTGTCACGTGACCATAATCTGTTTTTTTTTGTTTTTTTTTTTTCCCCTCTTCTTGAAAAAGACTTTAAAAATTAGGGATCCCTCCTTTTTTTTAAATTTACAATAAATTACTTCTTTATTTTCATTGAAAATGAATTTTTTATTTTGCTCTTTTCGCGCGAAAAAACATTTATTTCTTAAATAATTATTTTAGAGAGCATCCTTTAAATTTTTTCCTCTCACTTCAAAGAAAATATATCTTAGAAAACGAACAGAACTAAATTTTGCAGAAATCATTTGTTTTTTATTTATGTATCATCATCGATTAGAAACGGCTACTAATCGTACCATTATTATTATTACAGTACTATATTCTTCTATTGTTTGAATGCTACACAAAAAAAAATGAATGGGGTTTGTATTAAATTAAAATTAAGTTTTGCTTATTATACACTTCCGTATTTTATTCGTCTTTCTATTCGTTTTAATTTTAAATCAGAATCGAGACAAATTTAGTCAGATATTTAATTACAGAAAAAATGCATTTTATTTTAAGGATTTTAAAAATTTTACCTCTTTAACCCCGACCTCCGCTTCGGCTTCATATCAATTCATAATTTTTAAGAAATCAAATCATTGACAGTTTTTTAGTCTTATTCGGTCAAGTTCTGTTAGAATTAATTCATTTTTCTTTTCTTTTACGAAATATTATTCTGCTGTCTGTCTTTCTCTTTATAAAAATGGCCTTTTTTTTTCTTTTGAGACTGTTCATTTTTAAAGAGAAAAAAGTAGAAAAGGCTCTCATGAAGGGTTTCGTTTTTACATAAAATGTTCCCTGACTTTATGGCCGAAACAGTCACTACTGTTAAAAAACTGGACCCTGATTTTGTGTCCGACTTTATATTTTTATGCAATTTTATAGTACGGAAGTCTAAAAAGAAAAGTTTATTTCATCGAGGTAAAGGGTTAGGACCTGTTTTTTTCGTAACACAACGAATTCCTTATTGCAAATATAAAAAAAGGCTACTTTATCTTTTTTATTATCTTTTTAAGCACCCGTACTTTGAAATTATGAACTGATGAAAATTTGGGCCTATAAAGTGTCCAGTTTGTCATTTTCTTGTATTATAAATCAATCTCACCAACCACTCAGAGAAATTAAGGTCATATTCATTCAAATCATAAAATAAATAAGAAAAGTATATTTTCCAACATTTCCATTATTTAAATTATTCGGACTATTGTCCTCATCTTTGTCGCTATATTTATTACAACGTTTCGGCCGTTGTACACTCTGGCCTTCTTCAGGTGGTTGGAATACATTCCAACCACCTGAAGAACGCCATTCCAACCACCTGAAGAAGGCCAGAGTGTACAACGACCGAAACTTAATAAATATAGCGACAAAGATGAGGACAATAGTCCGAATAATGGACATAATGTACATAATACCTCATCTCAGAAATATAGACAGACTTTCCAACATTTGTATCGTTTTATTTTTTCTGCACATTTTTTTTAAGACATTGCAAATCTAATTTGACATTGTTTGATCAAGTCGAAAATAATTTCTTTATTATTTGAATACAATTGTTTTTTTTATTGTTTTCCTTTTCTTTTTAAAGCATTTTTCCTTAACAACCTTCCTGATGTCATCAGTTCTCAATTTAGTATCTATGCTGATGTCACAACTATTTACTCTTCTTGACTTTCCTGTTCAGTTTGATAAGGTCAAATTCGCAGCTGATTTCAACCATTACATGCAATCTGTTGTTAACTGGGGCAAAGAATGGCTTGATCATTTTAATGACTCCAAAATGAAACTGCTTTCTTTAAATTGTATGAGATAACATTATGCCAGCCTTCAGAAGAGGGACTCATTGTGTCTTCTCCAGCTAACGGTTTACACTGACATGGAAAGATTATATTGAATCAATTGCTAGATCTTCTGCTAGAAAAGTTGGTTCACTGAATCATGCTAGATAATTTTTTCCTGACAGAATCAATCTTATATATTTAAATAAGTCTACCATCCATCCAAGTTTTGAATATTACTACCACATCTGGTTTGGTGCTTCTATTTAGAGATTTTTAATAAAATGCCTATAATAATCTCCAATGTTATTAGCATTTCAGCTTCAGTTACTTCCCCATTGCTTCCCTGTGCCTTTTCTATAAATACTTTCATGGTAATTGTTCTGATGAACCTTCATCTATGATAGCTAGGCTTTACGAATTTAAGTACAGTATTAGATTGCTGGTAAGGTTTCATCATTTTACAGTTTAAATGGCTAGATGTAATCATAAGTTTTATGCTGACAGTTTCTTCTCTTGCTCATCTTACTTCTTGTAGAACTCTCTTCCAGCTTCTTATTTCCCAATTAATTTTGATCTTCAAAACTTGAAATGCAATGTCAATTGTTATCTTTTGTCTTCTTAATTTCTCTTTTATTCTTCTCTCTCTCCTGAATAATGTTTTTTTCTTCATATTCTTTAACAATCTCTTGGGTGTATAAGTGATTTTATTACCCAAATTGCACAACAGAAGAATTCATTTTAATTTAAGATTTTGAAATATAATTCTATCAACAGTTTTCAAATGTTGAAATCAAAATTCAAAAATCAGTCAGTTTTGTCAGATTTGTCCCATGTGTGATATATGCTTAGGCGATCATGTATCTTGACTGATGAGGCAGATTTTTTTCCCGCAGTAAGTTGCCATTTCTTTTTGTGGTAGACCAGTTGTCATCCAAGGGTATAAGCCAGTCTGTCCTGCTATTTACCCTTAGCTGGAGGGAGAAGAAGAGGATTCATACCTTTCCCAAGGGTATTAGCACATATGCGAATGCAATGGATTCAATTGGAATTCGAAACACTGAAAAAATCTTCAAAACATGAAGCAAAGAATTTCTAGCATCTTCAGTACAAATCCATGACAAAAAAAAACCCAGCTGACAAAATCCCAGCTTCTTATCCCAAAAGTGGGAAAGATTAGTCTCATGAATAAAAAAATTATATAAAAAGGAACTTTTAATTCAAATATTAATGTCAGATTGAGACATTTGTTAATAATAATATCCAATATATATTTATGTACAAGAAAGATCTATTTCTGTTGCATATGCTTTAATAATTTTTAGAAATATTAAACGTTTTATAGAATTTAATAATTAAAAAGAAATATTCAAATTTTTAGAGAATTTAATAATTTTTAAGTTTGGCAAAATTAGTTACAATCTTATTTCCTGCAGTATTCATAGAAACCATTGTTGTCAGCTGACATTTCACATTACAACTAATCAGTTGAGGGAAGCTGAAAAAATTTGTGGAATTATCTAAGTCAAATAATCCACTTAATTAGATTTTCTTAAAACTGTACCAAGTTATTTAAACATGTGAAAAAGTAGTTATATTTTTAAAAAAAATATTCAACAAATAAAAGAACCACTCAAGGTAGAGGCTTACTAACTGATGTTGTTGTATGAATGAAAGGAGAGGAAGACATGTTGGATCGATAAAAGTTGACCCTCGACTTGAAGATGTTAAAATTGTAGTGAATGGGGAAGCATCCTCTTGGGAATCTTTATCACAAAGTAGCAGTATTTGGGAGTAATTTCATTCTTACCAGTAAAATACAAAGGAATTATGAATGATTTGTACATGTCATGGTGGGGGGGTATCTTAACTGTTAGGGTTAGAATTAGTGGAACTAAGAAATGTAGCTAATCAGAACACTTTCCGTAGAAATAGCAACAGAGTAGCAAGTGGGGTATGCCTTCATAAACTGCTAAGTGGGATATGCCTTCATAAACTGCTAAGTGGGGTATGCCTTAATACACTGGTATGTTGGGAATGTCTTCATACACAGATATGAGGGGTATGCCTTCATAAACTGCTAAGTGGGGTATGCCTGTATACACTGACATGTGGGCTATGCCTTCATCCACTGCTACGTGGGGTACGCCTACATACACTGACATGTGAGGTATGCCTACATACACTGACATGTGGGCTATGCCTTCATACACTGCTACGTGGGGTATGCCTTAATACACTGATATGTTGGGAATGTCTTCATACACTGACATGTGGGCTATGCCTTCATACACAGCTAAGTGGGGTATGCCTGTATAGACTGACATGTGGGCTATGCCTTCATCCGCTGCTAAGTGGGGTA